TTTAAGAGGATAATTGTCCACTAATTCAACGCTCGAATGCGCTAAGGATCATACCTCTGGTTCGCCACAGCTGGTCGTGGCGACTTTTGGTTACTTCTACTCGGCCGCCGCTTGTCACCTCCCAAAAGCTTACCATGATAAAAATAACACGCAATTATTTTTTAACAAAACAGAAAAAGAGCTTGCATCCAAATTCACATTCGCCGAGAAAAGCTAAATTGCAAAGGAAGTATCCAATTAGCCAGATATCCATGTTGAGCCCTGTCAGGAGAGGTGATATTCAACTCACGAACTCCAACGTTTATCGCTACTCTATCGATGGGCTCCGCAACCTGTGTAGAGAACCTCAGTCAGGTTGTGAAGAGCCTAAGGAAAATGCCGCGTAGCGGCTTTAATTTAGAAAAAGCCGCTACGGGGCTTTTCACATAGGCTGTTCAGAACCTCATTCAGGTTTTCTACACAAAATGGCGACCCAAAGTCAGGATACTAAAAGATGAAAAGCCGAATACAGTGATTCAACTTGAAAACTCTTGCTCCCAAACTCAAAAATTTTAAGGGCGTCCTCGTCAAAAGCGCCAAATCTTGGCCGGCCATCTAACGTGTTAAATGTTTAGCTATGTTTACACAGTTTTGCCTGAGTTACATTACTGTACTGAAATAAGGAAAAGAAAAGTCACGTGTCGAACGTTCGACTCGCTCTCTCAGACGTTCGCTGCAATGAAATCGGCGCAGGAAGAGTGTTTTCACGCTGAATGTGCTAAGTGCTCGATCCCATGAAATTTCATTTCTAAAAATGACATTCAAACTCTTTCCGAATCAAATTTTCGGAGACAAGCCCAAAATCTTAAATTTTGGTTGTTCTTCCGAACATCAATAAACTTTCATTTTTCAGCCCTTATTCATAAAAAAGTTTGGGCCCGGCAACCTATGAAGAATCTTATTTTTCTCATTTTCTGCGAAAATAGTCCAAAATCGATGGGCGTCTGGTCGCCAGTTTGAATGTGTAAGATACAATCAATCGGGTTGACGTGAATAATGATAGTTATGGAAACAGTTAAAGCACACAGCCGGGGAATGTCGTACATGACAGGTCAACAAACGCATGAAAATCGACGATATAAGAACGATTGTACGGTAGTGGCGAGAGTTAGTAAAACAAAGACGCAAGATTAGAAGACAGTGGCTAGATGCTAGTTTGATCAAGTAAAACGAGTACAAGAAAGAAAATAAAAGTTTTAAGAGCGAAGTGTTGTTGAGAGGGAGGTTAATGCGTAATTGGCCTTTACTCGGGTAACGCCTCGAAAAGGGCTAATTCACGCGGACAACTCATCTTCAAAGTACTGTTTTTAGGATTTGGCGACGAAAATTGCCTACCGTTCTCTCCACTCTCTGGATCATAAAAACAACACGCGCGGGAATAAGTATTCCACACTCAACCAACTGCTTTCAAATCGGCCTATTTTCTAATTTGATTTTCTTTTTTTCTATTTTATTCAAAAATTTCGCAAAGCAAAAGAAGCGAAAGTAGAAGAATGAGAGTGAGTAAAATAAAATTTAATTAAGCGCCGCTTAGGTCGGAAAAGAAAGGTCATTTGACGCCTTCAGAACCGGAACTTGTGGTTTCGCTCTCTCACAAATTGCCCAGTGGTTGAGCCATTAGAAAGAGTATCTAAACAGCTCCACTGCTTCTTGCTCTTGGTGCTTGATAACGATTAGTACCGTCTAAGAGAAAGATAAAGGACATCCGGCTGAGGGAAGAATGATCTGTTTCTAGTTTGCTTTTGAATTAGCACGTTTTCAAAATAGCTCAATCCCGCCGTTCTCAAAACACGAATAAATAGTCCTCCTTAAACAAAAACAGGAAATCGCAATTAATTGTTATTAAGAATGAACTCTCATTTTCGCCGGAAAGCCCAAACCGTCGCAGGAAAAGAATAAAACATTCGAAAGGGTTTGGAACGTGTCGCGACGTGTTGTATGCGATTTACAGTATCGTGGCGGGGGTTTTGTTCAGCTGCGCTCTAAGCACATCTCCCTTCTCGATTTTCATTTTAGGTTCACTAAAGCTGCCTCCCTCGAGCTTAGCTTCTAATCTAACGTGCGAGGCGCCTACTTTGCCGCCAGATTCGTTTACGGAAGCTTCAGCCAACCAGCAGAGTCTCCACTTTTTCTTCTACTGTAGCTCTTACAACTCTCGACACAGTATCGAATTTCGGCGCAGTAAAGTCAATTGAAAGGGGCTCTTTGTGCTACAAATCGTCGATAGACTATTTTAGATTTTTCTTTCTTTCTATTGGAACTTCTGTATTCAAAGCTGCTAAAAATTAAGGGGACCCTTAATTTGTCAGCGGCAAAAATAGCTAAGTGATAGAGAAATCGAGACCATTATTTTATCGGAAAAGCAAAGTGCTAAATTGAAGGCTCAAGTGCTTTCTCTTAATGCTCTTTGTATTTAGGAAAAAGACTTAATTTCCTACGAAAAATGGGCCTCAATGGAATTTTCATAAGTTGAGGTCACCAAAGGCAGGGTTAAGAGTATGAAGCGGCGATTTTGGGCGCTTTATGACATTAATGTGACACGCGCCAACGGGTTAGAATGCGTTTTGTGGCTTCGCTTTCTTGTTGAGATAAAGAGTAAACAATTTTGCTGAAAACGAAATGTTTAGATCTTCGTGCGAATTTGCTCCCTGAGCGCCGATTTCGCCTAATATCGCCGTTCAAAGAAGTTTACAAAGTTGATTCTGACCTCCATGTCCTTCCATCCACAATTGAGGCTGAAAATGTTTGTGGCCGAATTCCAAATCGTTTCATCTGCTCCTCGCTATTTAAGAAACAATTCCGAAAAATGCATCAAATTCTAGAGGCAGCCTTTTCGACCTGGTAATTTCGCTCAACCCCCTAGCGCGCACTACAACTTGTACTACAACAAAATGAGACTTCATTCGCTTAGAAAGGCATTCTTTGCCGATTTAAGAGCCAAATGACTCTGTTTATTTAAAAAAAAAGTGCCACAACTCTGATTCCTAACTGACTGAATATTCAGATAATCAAACATAAGCGACCTAAACAAAACTGAAAACATTGCTATAATACCCGCTTGCGGTTTCGAGAAATCTAAATTTTTTTCATTATAATTTTGAATTCTCGAAGCCGCAAGCGGCATTTCGAGTTTTATAGCATGGTTTCAGCTTTGTAAAGGTCCCATGCGAATTGCTTTTCTGAATATAAAGCCAGTCAGAGATCAGAATGGCAGTATTATTCAATGATCTGGAGACAGGGCAAAAATATGGATCAAATTGTTCCAAATGCGCTGTAGCTTGATAATTTCTCTTGTAAAAGTGGTCTTGTTCTTTCGACAAAGCGGATGTTTTACGGATGTCTACCTATCATACTACTCGAGTAGCGATTCGGCCAAGAACTGCATTGCTGATTTTCTAGTCTATATCTGTCGTAATTGGCAATTGGCAAGTGTTGACGCAGATTTACATAAGTTAAAACCAAACTGAAAATAACACACTGTTTCACCAAAGTGGATCGTGGACCGGAAGCAGATAGGTCGACTTTGAACCGCATGGAATCAGACCAGAACATTGACATCACCTTAAACAGGTCACAAACAGAAAAGTAACTATTAAAATGAAAAAGGCCCATCGCCCGTTAATCCCTTTCCCCAGTATTAATGTCTATAAGACACCCCGGCTATTTCGAAAGCATATAAATTCATCTGACGCTAGCTGACCTCGGAAATATTGAGTGTAAGCAGAAAGGGCGCAAAAAATATTTGATGCGTCGCGAACTCGATCTGGGTGAGGCTGCGTCTCACCATCGATAGAGTCTCAATTTTTTCGTGAAACGCGGTGTCAAATGGCTGTCAATTTCCGTACAGATCGGGGGAACTTCTTGCTCACGCATCGCGCTTTACAAATCTTCAATCGTGATAACTTCGTTTTCGAACCCTCGTTAATTCGGAACGACAGGGAATTTATTTGCGGAAACAATTCCGTTCTTTTATCAATAATACGTTTTGGCGGATACTTAAGTGGTAACGGGTTAAAAATGTGTTGTCAGCACGCAAATGTTGTTGTATAAAGTAGATAATCGAGTTTTAAATATAATTGTTCGCGCGAATACTCAGTCTACATCCATCTATAGCTTGTTTGGTGTCATAATAGCGTGAATAAAAAAAGGGAGGAAGGAATAATTAGTTTTCAATTGAATTTTGACACTCAAAAAAGAGTAACTAATACATTGTCTTCTTCCGGATTGGAATAGAGAAAGGTAGAGTCTTCACTAGAAAAGAGAGATCTAGCGCCGGCGCACGATTCCGTCCGCGAACTCACGAGCGCCAGAGCTCCTCCGCCAAAAACTCTAAACTTGAAAAGCAATATTGCGAACAGCAGCGATATTTAGCATTTCCTTCCAGTTTATTGTTCTTTTTCCTAAATCAAATAAAGAAGAAACAAGTAATCGAAGAGAGACAAGAAAGAGAGTTCTGAAAATAAAATCGAAAATCGAAAGAAACAGAGATACTGCTGAAGAAACTGACTGAAGAAGAGCTGAGAATCGACGCACTCGATTTTTCCCTGGAAAAACACAAGGAAGACTGATAGCTTCTTTTTTTTGATTTTTGCAGCCTGTATAAGGAAGGGTTGAAATGAAGTTAGTTGAGAGTCTTCCTCATTAATAAGAGTCGGGACTTTTAAGATAAATTTCTTCGCATTAGAATGGTTTTTTGAAAAGAGTTATTTAAATCAAGATTCGACAAGTAAATTTTAAGAAAAAAGTAAGAAAATTAATTAACAAGAAATTTTTTTTTTAATAATCAAAACGTAATACAAGGAAAAAATGCATGCCAACCGCCGACGAGCGTATTTAAAATACAAAGCAACGGCCGCGCAAGAATTGCATAAGCTCATTTAAAATACACAAAACAAAGCCAAACAATATTCGAACTCAATAAGTTTTCAGTAAAATTTTCAACCCATTGAAAAGTACAAAGAATGAACGATTTGAAGCGGTCTCGCACAAGCGTCGGCGTCGCCCGAAAGCCCTCGATTCTGGCGAAGACGTTTTTGAAAAGTTGCAAAAATTACCCCCTGTCCGGGGATTTGATCTCGCGCCCCTTGGCATTGAGACACACGGCGCACGTGGGCGCGTCTGGGCACAATTTTGGCGATTTATCGTTTCTAGAGCCGGGCGGGCGCTGCCGAAAGTCCAACGGGCTTGAGTGCGACCAGGAGTACGACTCGCCTGTGCTGCGCAAGACGGAGAGCATTCCCAGCGTTGCGCGCGACGCCTGCAACTCGCTCGCGCACGCCGGTTCGGGCTTGATCTCCGACTCTGGCCACGGCTCCGACGCGGGCACCTTTGACAAGATCAGCTCTCAGTTCTCCTCCGCCACCGAGGACGATCTGAGCTCATTGTCGGACAAGTCGGACAGCAGCCCGGAGACAGACAAGGTCGAGATCTTTTGCGATTTCACCATCGACCTTGGGCCAGATTTGCTCGAAGATGTTATGGGCATGATCGCGCAGATGCACCCGGGCAGGGAGGGAGAGAAAACAGCTAGAAGCGCCAACAAGAAAACTAAACCCATTAAGGTCCGGTTCTCCTTAATAAAGATATCATCGAATATAACAGAAAATATACTCTCTTTAATAGAATCTGTTCATTTTGGCGCGAGCGCTGTCCAGTTCTTTAGTAGACATACGATTCATTAAAGCTAGACATAAGAATTCACATGAATATGACAAGAAGAACGTGCGTTTCGGTTTGAGTCACGTGAGTTGTGAGTTCAGTTTCGGGACGGTTTTGACGCCTCAAAAATGTCCCGCAAACGTATTTGACGGCGCCTACCGCACAGGTCCATGAGATCTTCTTAACGCCCTGTTAGAAAGAATCATATGCAAAATAAAGGAGAACCAATTCAAGGTCTAATACAAGAAATTTAAGCTAGTTTAGTGTTTCTGTTCGACCCTACACGACAATTTTTAGCTCAAAAAGAATCAACCCAGTTTTGCGCTATTTTCTCATGTCAAAATAAAACCCTTTTCGCCGCCTCCTTTTTGTGCTCTTCCGGTGGCGAATTTTCTAATATTTATTTTTTTACACTAACTTTTGTATAAATTTGAGTTTCACTAACAAGAAAATCACACTACCAAAGTATCTGAGTTTCTGAATAACTTAACATGTAGGTTGTACATTCATGAGAATCGTCTTTTCTAGTTGTAAATTGTATTGAAAGACCACGTGCGTTTATGTTTTCGGAGTTGGAAAATCAGTTCAGAAAGCAAAAATCGCCCAATCTCCCTTGATTTTTTATATATATTCGGATAATAAATTGACATAATTTTTTCTACAATATTCTTAAGTCGATATTATTCATAAACAAAGCTTTGATAAATTTTTTATTATCCTATTTTACAAAGGAAAAGGTGCACATTTTTTTTTGAAAAAAAGCTCTTAATCAATTATATACCCCCTTAATAAAATACGAGCTCCCTAAAATTAAGTGGGTATTAAAAATAAGTCCCCATATTAATAGGAAAATATTTCTTAGGGCGGTCTCCATTTTCACGAGTTTTGCACCTTTAAGGGAAATTTCAGAAAATCTGGTAAAAAAACGACCCTCTTTAGAAATATTTGCCTGTCAAAATGGGGAACCCTTATTCTAATACCTCTTTCGATAAATGAAGTAGGAATGAACATAAAAGCTTCTATCTCCATTGATAGAAAAAGCTTTATTAGATTCAATTAAAAGTCTGCTTTTTTGACGGCAACAGCGGACAGAACATTAAAAAATGTTTCCAAATATTTGATGCAAAATCGAGCAATTCCCTTAGACGCTCTCTTAGATTTTCGAATTTCTTTTGTGTTTAAAATCTAAAATCAGATTTGTCACCTTCTATATTTTTCTATCAACCACAGTAAGTATAATTTTTAAACATAAAAACATTTTTTTAATTTATTTTCTTAATGCAAATATTAATTTTTATATTTTCAAAGCAAAGGGTAAAAATCGCTCCGCCACGCAAATAATTTTGAAATTTTCAAAACTTTTTTTTCTGTCAAAATTCTTTCGCTTTTCGCTTGCTTACCCCTTGACAGTTTCACAACGACCAACAGGTATTTATCATAAAAAAACTATAATTCAACGAAGCTATTCCTTCTAAAATTGTTAGAAGCGGTATTCCTTTCTTTCAAACTTTCTATTTATTCTGTCAATAATTCTTGTCTTATTTTAAAAATTTCTTGCTTACTTTATATGTCTATTTGAAGCAGTAGGCAGAAGATAAACCGGACAACAATTGGCAAAACAACAAAAAAGAAGTTTCAGCAGATTTACTTCCAGACGAAGATTTCAGCACTTTAAGATGCTGTTTTAATTCGTTTCTAAAAAGGTAAAGCTCCCAAAAATCAAGTCAAAGCTACTGTTAATCGATAGAGTCAGTAGAGCTGCGCTAGGCAATCTGTATAGAAAATCTGAGTCAGGGTCCGAAATAAAGATTTCAATCCACCACGCGGCTTTTTATTATAGCTCTTAGAAGACCCTGACTCAGGTTTTCATAACAAGTCGCCGAGCAGAGCAATAGAGTCAAGTTTACGATGGTTGAAAGAAAGTGCCTTTGTCGGATTGATCTGACAAGTAGAATCACTGTCAAGTTTGACAGCAAAACTAGAATAGCCACATCAGTGACGATACAAACAAATGCATGTTTCTGAGGTTTCGAGATTTTACAGATAACAGCCACTCCCGTGCTGAGGTTAGCCACAGCATATACAGTGGCCTCAAGACGTGAGCAAGTTTGGAAAAGTGAGCTGTTCCGTCTTTAGATTTCAAAATTCTATGTAAATTCGAAAAACGTGCGAAGAGGAATATTCAAAGATAAATTTGCTCAGTGGAACGTGCAGAATCCCTTTGTGCACCTGTAGCACTAAAGGACTTATGTGCATAATATATTAATATATGCTAAAGGAGCGGAACGAATTAGAATATTGAAAAGCAAAACCGACGGCCGGGCGGCTTCTCCGATTCGCCAGAACAAACCCTTTTATGACAAGAAATCTCCAAACATCAAAAATCATCAATAGAAGCAAAAAAATCATTCTAAAAACGAAAATCGTCAAAAATCAATTATTCAAACTGCAATAATAGGCAATAATAAAATCTTCTCTTCCCTGTTCAACTGCGTGTCGTTCCTCTCAACAGCAACATTATTATCAATCAATTTTCTAATATCCTCTGATGTGATAAAGGAAAAAAACATCATTAGCTTGGAAAAGGAGGTCATAGAATGCACACTGCTGAGATTCCTCTTGACTCATTTTACCTTGTTAGAATGTTTTTTTTCAAACAGGCTGATGCAGTGCTTCTATTAGAGCTCTTCCGCAATCTGTAATTTCCGGTAGACTACAGAAAGCGCTCGTTATTAGATCATCCAAACGAGAAGGCACTGGGCTCGGAAGAAACCTGAGTCAGGCTCCTGTAAGCCAATGCTTAAAACTTAACTAAAATTCGTCAATTTGTTTGCGGCTTCGTTTTTAAAAAAGCCACTACCCGATCTTTCTTTTAAGCTCTTCATAACCTGACTCAGGTTTTCTTTAGTCGTTGCCAAACACAGTGCAGGTTGTCTGAATTCTGAAACCGATTTAACATAACTTATGATAGTGCATGGAAAAGGGCCGCTTAATTTAATAAACATAAACGCAGCTGAGTTGTTGAACCGTTCGAATTTTGTCTAGCCACATAGTTATTAATAAACAACATGTACTTTTGTGTTTGTGTTCCGAGCCGGTGGAACAGCTGGGTTCTTAGTATTGATTTAACATGAATAAAACTGGTACTTAAAATAATCAAAGAGATTCAAATGAGTTTTAATTTCTGAAAGTCACTTTTGTAAAAGCGAATTTATTCGTTGAACAAGGCTGCGTTGGGCCGCTCAGAAAGAAAATTACGGATTACGGAAGACGACGGGGATGATTATCAGCAAAGGCTTCAAAGTATCGCCAAATATTGTTTTTGCAAAAGCATGCTCTAAGACTCGAGCTCGCTCTCAGATACTAACGTTACACACGCTCCTAGCAGATAAGTCTCAATTTAACATAAAACTGAAAACACTGTGAATAAAATTTCAACCGCGCCCCAAAAATCGGCAATGTTTATCTCGCTCAAAAGAAATGAAATGCACAAATTAGCAGATCTAATTAGAATCCAAACTCTGAAAGAAAAACAAAACTTGCGCTTTTGCTGAACTGGATCAAGTTTACTCCCAAACTGCGCGCAGATTATAATAAAAATAATTCCATCAAACAAGATCGCGCTGGTCATTCTAATTTGGCACTCTCGCAATTTCATTCCTTTCTTACAACTTCTCAAACACGTGGTTGAAAAATGCACGCTTCTGTGTCAAAATAAAAATTCATCCTCTAAGCCTTCCACGTGTCGCCACTTCAAAGCAACTTTCGTTGAGCCATTCTTGAAAGCATTAAAAATCAGCACCATCTGATCCTCTAACGTATCCACACAGTGACCGAACGGGAACGGTATAAGTAGCACAATTTTCATCGGAGAAGAAAAACTAAACTCTGGCTTTATTTTGATAAGATCTTGCCGTCCTGGCACAGAATGCACTGTTGGTTTAGAAGTCAGTCACAAGAAGAATGCTCGAAGGTTAAAATAAACGCGTTACAATGAAAACAACACTGAACCAACAATAATAATCAGCCTCGGTTTTTATTACTCGAGCAGATGAGCAGCTCCTCCTCTAAATAAATTTTGCGGTGGTGCCGGTGCAATGCTGAATCTGAGAGTTTTCTAGGGCAGTCGACTTATTATAAATGAAATATATAACAAGCTATGATTATTTGTAGGGGAAGAACGAAGTAGTTATATTGTAAATCATGTCTCACGTGTATCCGCAACCATTCATTGCTCTCAATTACATTTCCAACTCTTGTTTCTAAAACGGATTCATTACTTCTCAAAGTGTTCATATAATTTTTGATAAATGGGTGTAAAAGTGTTTTCAAAACAGCTCTCGACAAAGTGAAAGCAGTGGAAAACGGGCGGGCGAAAATAAGGAGCACTCTTGTGTTTAGCTGAAATGCTACTGCAACTTGGTATTGTGATCGCCGGTGTAATGCCGATCGCGAGTGGATTTCCTGAAGATTTGAGCTGTGCGCGGCCTAGACGCGGGGACTGTCTCGTGTCTACCGCACGACTTGTTCTAGCGCGAATATTCCCCAATAAGAGCATCGGAATTCAAGTTCCATCGGAACAAGAAAATACTAGCTATCTCATTTAGATTATTTTCATATTAAGCGCCAAGAAACTCATCCTCCCGCGACCTTGACGTTCAGAAACTCCGCTCAGGATTTTTGAAACATGCAAAGGCCAAAATACAGGGACTCCCGCAACGTGATTACTCGCACACGTTTTCAAATTGAACGTATTTGTGGCTTGAGAAATGTTGTTATTCGCAAAACAAGAGAATTCACGCGCGAAGCTATAAATATAAACTTAGTATCGTTCCCCTCTCTGTAAGTGGCTATCTCTTTGTCATACAAATATCTATATAAGAATGTGAAATCCTGATTGTGATGTTTGTTTTTATGCAAAAATCAAATGGTGGATTTGAATAAGAGCGCGCTTCGTCGTTCACGGGCTCGCTTCTCGCTGTTATCCTCTGTCAACGTGGCCAGTTGCAGTTGATCTTCGTAGCTCTTTTCGTATTTTTTGATGATCTCTTGGTCGTTTTTACCTTCTTCCTCGCATCTGAAAGACGCCCTTGCAGTCATTTTCAAGGCTGATATGTTACCTTTCACATTTGCAGACAAAGTTCCAGCCGAATTTCAACTCTGCTCTTCTCTCCTTTCTCTTCCCGCAGCAGTTGATGTATGCAACTGTGATTTCCTCGAACTGCTTAATGTCCCGCATGGCGACGAGTTCCTTCGAAGAGTCGAAACAACTAATCACTGCAATTGATCGCTGGAAGCGTAATAGTCATGTTACCTGGCTACGAAGGCGGTGTTTGGGTCGCAGGAATGGTTGAACATCGATCCAACATAGTAAAGGCCGACGCCGTTGATTACTCCTTTTGAGTTTGGATCAGGCCCTAAAATGCCCGGGTATGAATGATTGATCTGTAGCTCGCTTGTCAAGATAGAACGGAACTGTACTATGGAATTTCGCAAAATGCGGAGATCGAAAACGAACCTGGAATGTGGAATCCCCAAGTGTTAACATAGGCTAAGTAGAATGCGTTTTCGATTTCGTCTCGCTGGAGGTCGGGAATCAGCGTCTTGAAGTTTTTGTACAGAAACGGCATCCACCGCTTTGAGTCCTCAATCACTTCGCGGTTGTCGCATGAACTGTCCAACTGGCTGACTCGTCGCCATTTCTCCGCGTTGTTCCGCTAAGAATTTTGCTAGATTGGCTTTCTATCCTGATTTTTTTGGGGTAAAAGATGAGTTTTGTTTGTCTATCACAAATTATTCCACGGCGATGCTTTGATCAAAGGATTGAGCATTAGGTATCACTAAAAGGAAATTTCCGGTATTTATTGAACAGCCCTAGAATTCATGTTAATTTTAATGATGATCCTTTTATCGAAAGATGAGCCCACTCGAACAAATTATGAAAGAGAAGTACTTTTTATTCTTTCTATCTCTTGTTACTTTGAATTACTTCACCTTGAGTAGTAAGAGGCGAAGAATGGCTTTGCATGTTTTCATAATTTTAATGAATTTAGCCGGTTCGTCGCACTGCTCCCGTATTTTGTTTAGCTCATCCCGAATCCTAGAAATTTTTGGATAGCAAATTCAAGTTGAATGATTCAAAAGAAGTTACGCCTACCGCTTAGCCTTGAGAGATTGCAGCCTGTTGTTGAAGTCAGCTTCATGTTCGTCTCGGCATTTCGGACAACAGAAAGAGCCATTTCGGAAATTCTGCTTCGAGTTGTGAATATGAAAGCGAAAGCATTGTGCACAAGGAAAATAGTTGGCTCCCCTTCGCCAGGGAAATTGAACGGAATCGGCTCACAACGGCTCTATTTATAGACCATCATACAAATAGAAAAGGCTTTCTTGCGATTTGTAAATATAGCTGTTCCTGTGTCTCTTCTCCGAAAATAGCGGCGCAGAGAGGGGAATCCTTCAAGATAACTGTTCCTTGTTTGATGTCTTTTAGTGCGATTACACCACGGCCCTTGCCAGCCACCTCCATGATTTCAACGCTAGGCTCACTAGTTTTCCTCATTTTGAGTTTTAATCTGTATGATTAATTCACTCATTTGAACTTTTATTGATAAACACTTGTATAATTCGGACATAACATATGTCACATAGAACTTGTATGATACAAGAAAGTATAACTCTTCCTGACATATTTTTCAGCTTTTGAAAGAAAATAATTAAGCTCCTCTAACTCATCGGAAAAAACAGGTTGCGAGGATAAATTCTCCTCTGGAGGACCTTCAACAGCAGGAGTTGAGCTGCCTAGTTTTGGCTTGTCTTTCTTGGGCTTCTTTTTCTTTTGGCTCTTTTTTGGAGGCATCTCGGTTTAAAAACGGAAAGGGAAAACTTTTCTGTATTTTTGCTCTTGCGAAGAGTTAATCCCTTTAATCTCTCGCCAACTGTTACTGCGTTTTCTGGTACATCTTAAAGCGATTTCGTTTTTCCTTCGCTCGTCAACGAAAATGTAACAATATTTAAATGCAACTGTGAACATATAAAATCCTCCCTTTAAGAGTTTTAACAAGAGACCCTGACAAAAAATCACATTCAAGTCGCATGTTTTCTTTACTGAAAGCATGCTTGATACGCGTTGAAAAAGGAAAGTTTTATTGATCTGACAAGAATGAACTGTGCCGGATGAAGATTCCGCAGATTTCTCGATTTTAGTGAACTGGAGGCGGCATACATGTTTTGTCATAATAAGTTAATTGGTGCTTCTCCTGGAAGGTTGATTAGAGGTTCTTCATCTTGAGCACACTGGTGATAATATCTGAAGCTTTGATGTTTGCTTCATCCTCCATATTCTTAGCGTAAGGCATGGGCAAATCGGCGCCAGTGACTCTGTTGCATGGAGCATCCAAATAATCGAAAGCATCTGATTCCATTACCTACAAAAAGTTCAAGCGCATGGATTATCAGGAAAACATACAGTAGTAATGATCTCAGCACCAATACCGCACTGAGGCCAGCCAGTCTCGACGGTGACAAGGTGATTGGTCTTCTTGACCGACTTGATAATAGCTTCGGTATCAAGAGGACGAAGAGTTCGAAGGTTGACAACTTCGCAGTTGATTCCGTGCTGCTGCTGGAGGACTTCGGCGGCTTCAAGGGAAATGCCGACGCCATAGCCGAAAGAAATGATCGAAACATCGCTTCCTTCTTTCTCGATTTTAGCCTAGAACTATTAATTAAATCTTCCGCCAAGAGACAAACACGAAACCTTTCCAACTTCAGCAACATAGTTCTTATCCATAACTTCATCAGAAACTTCAAAAGCTCTGCCGTAGAGGATTTCGTTTTCAAGGAAAACAACAGGGTTGGGGTCTCGAATAGCAGCCTTCAACATAGCCTTGCAATCCTCGGAAGAGTAAGGTGCCATAACGACAAGACCTGGGCAAAACTGTTAGTTAACGGGACTTTTAACAGATTGGCTTACCAGGGACAGAAGAATACCAAGCGGCAAAGCACTGAGAATGCTGAGCAGCAACACCGAGTGCGGCTCCGTTAGGTCCTCGGAAAACCATTGGGCATTCGCATCGACCAGCGGACATGTAAAGAGTCTTGGCAGCACTGTTGACGACCTGATCGATGGCCTGCATGGAGAAGTTGAAGGTCATGAACTCGCAAATGGGCTTCATTCCTCGGCCACCGAAGGCAGCTCCGACGGCCATACCGGCGAAACCCATCTCGGTAATTGGAGTGTCGATGACTCGGTTTTCTCCGTACTAGAATCAAGAATCAATCGTTGCAGAAAACAAACGGGGGTTACCTTGCCAAGGAGACCTCGAGAAACCTTATAGGCACCATCATACTGGGCGACTTCCTCGCCGATCAGAACGACGCCTTCATCTCGTTCCATTTCCTCGTCCATAGCCATGTTGAGCGCATCTCGCACGAACACTATCAAAATAGGCGGAAAGATTGAATCCCTAGAATGAGGAGTTACCTTGCTTGGGAGTTCGAGCGGAAGTGGTGAGAGTTCTCGCGGCAGAACGGGCGATTCGAAACATCTTAATTCAGAGATTTGAGACTTTCTCTTTGGGAAATTATACGCTTTATTTGAATGAGCTAAGAGTAGAATGTGTCCGTTGGCAAAAGTTTAAATTTCAGGAAGAGTTAGTTTTGCTTCGAGAAGAATGCCACGCAGCTTTTCGTTCTTATAATCCTCGTACATAATATCACAGCCGCCATAGAACTCGCCACTTAAATAGACCTAAAAAGAGGGGTATTTTCCTGGGATAAGCGCTGCTGAAATACTTGGGGAAAAGTCGGCCAGTCGGAAAAGTCCTTCATTTCCTCTCGCATGCCTTCTTCTTCGAGGATGTTGTGAGCGCTGACTTCCTTGTTGAGATCGACGCCTTCTGCTTCGAGCATTTGAATCACCGCGCGGGAGAATCCGCACTAAAAAGCATTTATTCCTGCAGAGAAGAAATTGGCAATGCAAATGTTGCATACCTGTGGCCTATCTGGAGTGCCCTTCATGAAAACAACGCACTTTTTCGCATTGACGAGAGCTTCGTAATCATGCGAAGCCAGTCGGTATTGTGTACGTCGCACTACGCTTTGCGCTAGTCGTCGGAACATGTTTCTGTTGCTTCTGAAATGAATGGGGAAATAGATTTTTATGAAAAGATTCGAATTTCGTATAAAAGAAAACGTTTGAACTTATGATTTGAAATGGAACTCGACAGATAATGAATGGTGATCCGAACCGTCATTTTCGTTTGGAATCGGCGTCGGAGTCGGTGGAAGCTCGCGGCGGCTGAGAACTCTTAGCTCTTCGCTTCCGTACAGAATGTAGTCGACATGTACAGCTTCATCAGAAGTTACTGCGGTTTTGAAGTCTTCTGCTCCTTCGTAAGCACTGAGGAATGAAGTAAAAACTTGTGGAGAAAGTTACAAGAGTACTTTTTCAAGTCAATTTGATGCGAAATGATGGAACTTGGTTGATCATCGTTTGTTTCTGCGCTCTCAGGAGTAGCAGATTGCGGCTTTTGTTCAATCGTGGAGTTCTTTTGAAGACCCGTCGTCGAAAGAAAATCTTCATCAACCTCCTCTCTTCCAACGTGGCTATGTCTTCGTCCGTAGTAATTAAAGCGACTACTAAAGTCGAAGTCTTGCTGAAATTTACTCGAGTTGATTGATGTTTGAATCCACATGCAAAACCTGGGCGATGTCACGAGCGCGAATTCCACTTAGATCAAACTTTTTCTTGAGCAAGAACTGCACCAAAGAACTATGAGGCTGGGAGTTGAAATCGCCGCACAGAACGACCGCGGGTTTCTGACCGTATTGCCGAATGATCTCATGCATTTCCGCCAAAATTTCCATTATTTGCTTCAGTTTCCAATCGCCTCTAAGAAAGTCTTACTAAGTTGGAATAAAACAGATGGTATGGGGCTGAAAAGATTATACGGGTGACTAAAAGATCATCTCCTTATAATTTAGAGATTTCTTTAGGAGATTCAGGTGCTAGTTATGATTAATCGTGAGGCTTGGTGAATCTACCTATACGGGTTGAAAACTAGATGCGTGGTGCTCACCAAAATCATCTTCCCACTTTTGAGATGTTGGAGCAAGACAAGAAGGCCAATCTGTCCAGTCGGACATTTATCCGGGTGCCACATGTGAATCTCTTTCGCCAGCACTTTCTTGAAGATTCCCTCTTTGAAGGCGATGAGAGAACCGTCCGGGAGGTTCCGTTTCTGGAGATAACGACAGTTGTAACGCATTCGCTCGAGAAAAGGTCTTCAAAGAAGGTTGATTTTTAAGTTTCTTAGTCTAACAGTGAATTGAGGCACCAGATTGGACTGGATTTCAAACTTCTCCTAACTTCGTTTTCGTAGCTCGAGCATTGTACTTCTTGCAAGCATAAAACATCGGAATCTAGCTCCTTGATTTCGTCCGAAATCTTTGACCATCTAACAGGCCACTTGAGCAATTGTTTCTTCGAGGCCAAGTGGCCGTAAAGATGAGAACATCTGTCCGCGTATTCCTGCGCTAGGATGTTCCAAGAAGAGAGTCGAAACTTAGAACTATGATCTGCACTCGCCGATAGTGAGGTCAGCTGATTCCAACAGCGCCCTACAGAGTCAGACGAGGACATTCTCAGACTGCGGCGGCAGACGGCAAACGCGCTAGAGCTACCGACCATCGAGCATGCCGAGCTCAGTTCTATATTCAGGATCTTTGTTAGCAAAGACTTACTACTTGAAAAATGGGATACTAGCACTGTGGAAGGGATCAGTCAGTTCTCTTTGAAGTCGTATTCGCGGGAGCGCGCCGCGCCCACGCTGCTTCACGCTGAACAGTACTGATTTTTGCGCCCAAGGTTGATAACCTTATTTGACTTTATGCGCTGATAAGGCATTTCTAGAGATGACGTAACATCAAACCATTGAATATTAAGCTAACAGACTTGTCGTGAATATACAGAAATTTATTAAACAGAAGTTAAGTATAAATTTGCAAAATTCAAATTTACAAACAGAAAAGAACAATTTAAATTCTTTCATATGTCGTATCTGCATCCACGAGTTTGTATTCAACTAGAAGATAGGAGGCAGAACCAAGAAGAAGTGTCGTTGCTGAAAATAAAATAAGTTAGGAATGCGAAAAGAAAGAACAGTCTTTTGGACGCACCTTGAATGAGAATTTGCCATGGAAGAGTCAGAACAGAAGAGTAGAAGAAGCCGATTGCAGCGGTAAAGCTCTGTGAGAATTTATACAGGGCAAAGGCTGGCGCAGAGTCTTCGGGATAGAGTTGCCCGAGAATGCCCATTATTTGCGTGTTGAAGCCCGAATCGCCAATGCCGATGAGAACTCCAGTGATGCAAATGAGCGCCTCCGTCGGTGGAATGTATGTTGGCTCAGTAGTATTCTTTAGGAGCGTTGATAAAGGTTTCAAAGGAAGTATTTACCTTTCCAAAGGGAGCATCATCTGGAATACAGAGAAATAGGATGACAAAAGCAGCAAGGTGGCAAAAAGTAGAAGAGATGATCACAATGCCTCTACCCCACATTTTTGCCCATTTGTTGACGATTCCCCAGCCGATTGCGCCCGAAACTTCTCCAGTTCCGATCATGAGACCGGCTATCCCAACGAGTGATTTTGGATCTGGCAGTGCTTCTGTCGAGCCAACAGACGTAGGAAATGCCAGGACGTAAAAGGGGATGTAGGGCGCGTAGGTTCTGCATGCAGACCCCGGGTCTGCACATGAAAAAAATGTAACAGAATTTAAGATTAAACAGGCGCTTTGGTGCGCTCCGCGTCTGATGTTTGAGAAAACTTCATTTTCTAACATTTCTGAATCAAAACGGGCCAAAGGAGCCAAAATTTTGATCGTCAATGCAGACCCCGGGTCTGGCAGAACCTACGCGCCCGACATCCCGTAAAAGGACATCAGGAAACCTGAAGAGAAAAAGATTAACATCAAGAAGTAAGGTAAGAACTCACCTGTATAAGCTTGAGTGACCATGAGAAGACCCATTTGACGAGTAGTGGCGATTCGAAACGCGTTCTTGAAAGCTTCCAGAGCTTGTGAAAGATTGAAGGGTTCGTTTCGTGATGTCTGAAATTTTCTACTTTATTTCATATTGTTCGTGGCTGGTTCTACCGTTGGTTTCCGCAAGAAAGCGAAAAGAATAAGCGACGAGCCAGCAATCGCCGTTAGAATAGTAAAGAGAGTTACTCGATCTGAATTTGATATTTCATCTTTTCCGTGCCACGAGAAAATACATAGAGCGGTCCGATGATCATCGCGGTCTGCTGGAATCCCCAGGCGATGTTTGCGTTTCGGTCCATCGTGTCCTTCCTTGAGTAGCTGACCATCAGGTTTCCTTGCGCTGTCCAAAGCGTAGCCGCGCCGAAGCCGATCAAAGTCGAGTAGAGATAGAGCACCGCGTTGGAGGGGTAGAGGAACATGGAGAGATACAGGACGAAGCAAGCGGCACCGGCGATTAGAGCAAGTTTGGAGCCGAGCAGGGAAATGATCGAGGGCGAGATCCAGTTTGCCATCGCGAAGACAATGTACAAAACAACAGCGCCTTTAAAGAAAATGCATTTGAAGAATAAACTCATCTTTCTGAATTTTACCGTAGTATGCGTTGATGGATGTTCCGTGCTGCTTGTCGTAGCTCGAAAAGACCAACTCGGAGACTTGACTTCCCGTTTGAAAGGCGGTAAAAAGAAGAGTAAATCCAGTGCACATTTGGAGAAAGGAAAGGAAGTCCTTCCGCGTGGCTTCATCCTCCGAGGAGTTTCTTTCCGGACGAGCAGAGTCGATCGAGTCTCGCCCAGTTGATCCTACTGGCGGTGCTCCTAGAGAATCTCCATCGCCGATTGAACTTTCAACCTAAAAATTCAATATGCTTCGAATAAATCAATAAAATACTGCCTACAGTTAGGTCATCTTTTAAGGGATCCCCCCCTGATTTCCCGAACTTTGACCCGTATCTTCTTTTTTCTGGTCTTACTTATAAGTATGAATAGTAGCGCATTTAAAAGCTCGCTTCAGAATGAACGTATTCTGGTAGAATCAACTTCCTATTCTAACATTTGCTTATGCATTAGAGGCCGTCAAAGTGATTAAAATTGGCGAAAATGGCCATTTTAGACCATTTTCAAATCGTATCTTCTTTTTTTGGGGCTTTTTAATCACAGATCTTTTTGCATCTATAGAGAGCTCAGAGCCTAGACTTTATATTCTGGTAGAATCAGCATAATTGGATAAGTGAAAAAAAATTTTCTTATTGTAAAACTTTTTGAAGCCATTTTTGGCATTTTTTTGAAGGTTAAATGCTCTCTAGCGCCAACAAATGGTCGAAAATTCTAGTGCGGTTATTATTTTCGTGATCTAGGCATTCTAAGCTTTCGATCAACCCCTTATTTGTCCTCTTTTGATAACGATGAAAAACCGAAAAAAATTGCGATTTTCGCGCTAAGTACAATTTACATGCATTTTCCCAAACTTTGGAGGCCAAAATTTTGGGGATGCATTAATGTAAAGTGGTACTATAATACATCGAAATAATCCTTAGAACACGAGGAATCTAATAATAGGCAATAATGATCCACATCAAATTTTTGAAAAATCGGGGGTGATCCCTTAATTCAAGATTTCTTGAACAAAAAGGGGAAAACAGGGAGTTAATTCAAAGAAATAAAATCTACCTGCGCCATAAATTGCCTCCTTGCGAGTTTCTCTCAGAATTTGCAAATCAAAAGCGCATAATTTCTCTTGACACCTTCGGCCGAAGCTTCTTCGTTTCGTTTGTCTTCAAGTGTTTGTTTTCAGAAAGAAACAAAACAACAAAGCAGTCTACAATGATAATTTCCTCTTTGGCGCATCAGGCAATCCGCCATTATTATTTTCTCTTACTTCAGTTGTAAAAAAAAGTGCTTCGAAAATCGTAAATGGCGCGCGTTCTGGATTTTTATTCTTTATCCGATTTCCGCGCGCGTGATTGGCTACTGCCTCCCGACTTTCCTGTTCTTATTCGTGTCTAATTAGCGGTCAATTAGCTACTTATAAATTTGGAGATTTCATTAGTCACTAGTAAATAAATAATCAAGAAGTTTTGAAGAAATTATAGTTACTGAGTAGTAATGTTGACGAATCTAAAACTGTAAAAAGACTTTTTGATTAGGATAAGTCGATGATGGAGTTGACTTTATTGAGTTGAATACAGCCAAGCTAAGAGAGATGACAATTCTACGATTTGATGGTCCGATGAATTAAGAACCTGGTTGGACCTAGCGACGGATACCGTCAAGCTGCGATGGCCGAGTGGTTAAGGCGTTGGACTTGAAATCCAATGGGGTCTCCCCGCGTAGGTTCAAATCCTGCTCGCAGCGCCATTTTGACCTTCTTTACAGTCACTTACTGTATCTTTACTTCCTCTAGAATCATTTTGGCATTATTGAATTTTACTTATATTCCTTAAAACTCCCGAAACAATGAAAAATCGTCGAAACCAAATTGCTGTGAAATCAACGAAGAAACCCAACGATAATTGATTAATCACGATCTCTGTCTATCATTCTCAGTTTTATTTCAGTGAGAACATTTGATCTCCATTCCACATTTTCTTATTCAGAGTTTGGTCCGAACGTTTGTCAGAGAAATGGAAAGCATGGAGGTCGATGATTACGAATATTTTGAAGTCGAAGAAGTTCGCGACAAACGAGTCGATTCAAAAACAGGTGCGTTGACATTCACTGAACTAGAATCGGTGATCTGTGTGAAAAACCTAAGTCAGGTTCTAAAAAGATTACATAAAGTAAATGAAAAGCCGCTACGCTAGGGTTGAGCTCGTGAGAAACTGACTCAGGTTTTCCTCACATGTTGCGGAACCCTGGAGCAGGCGATCAACCATTTTTTAAGAGAAGAATGAATACCTGATCAAGTGGAAAGGATACCCAGAACACGAAAATACATGGGAACCGGAAGAGAATTTGCGATGCTACACGATGATCGCTGAATTCGAAGAAACGCAATCAAATAAACAAATTCGCAGATACAAAAAACCAGACAACCCTCAGGTATTTCCATTTCGCTGACTAAGAATATAAGAAAATATTTGAGGATAAGGACGGCTTTGATCTCAACTACACAGCGAAGCGGATTATGGGAGTGTCACATGATGACGAAGGCCGCATTCTTTTTCTTATCCGATGGTAGGGTCTTTCTTCATTGGACCTGTTTTGATTTCCTTTTTTTAGGATAACAGACAAGGGAGAGAAAGAAGTTTCTTTTGTCTACTCAAGCCGAGCGAATGATCACATTCCAGGCGTAAGTACTGTCAGTAGATCAATTAAAAATTGATAATTCAATGAAAATAAAAAAGTATCGTAAACTTTTTTTTAGCTGGTCATTGATTTCTACGAATCAAAGTTGACCTGGCACAAGCAGTACCAAACAGGCAGTGCCTAACAGTCCAGAATACCTTCCAGTATAGAAAATAATCCAGAAGACCTCAGCCACTAATTCTGGCTCATTTTAACTGTACTGCTCTAATCGCCATTGAGCAATCATCCCAGATGCCTTCCTTCATTTATCGTCGTTTTCAAGTTCACTATTACTGTACTAGTGCCGTTGCTATAACACTTCATTTATCAATCTCAGGAAACCTTTTCGAACCATTTTCGCTCTGTTTGGTAAAACGTGCTCTTACCGAATAAACCCAGATTGCATCAATACTTCGTTATTTTCAGAACTAAATTTTTCAGCAGGAATGGAGGTGCGCAGAACTGTTACTACAGTGCGTAGTAGCTGGGCTCGGCGACCTGTGCAGAAAACCTGAGTCAGGCTCTGAATTACCTGTATTTGAAAAGCCGGGTAGGCTCGTCAGAACCTGATTCAGGTTTTCTACACAGGTTGCCAAGCCCAGGCGCAGTACATCAAGAATAAACCGCAACGACCGCTTAGTTGAGAGATTTGAACGGATAATGGCTGCTGAGCAAGCAGCAGAACGCTTTGAAAGGGAATTCCGAACAAAGGTGGAGCTAAGAAGACGAATGAGGATGAAGGAACGACTGGAAGAATTGAGAAAGCATTATTACTTAAAAAGACGTCAGAAAGGGGCTCTCAATTAATAACTAAAAAGCGAAGGTTAGGTTTCGACTCGAAATTCGGGTAGATTTGATTTGCCCCGAGGTGTGTCGCGCGCGTCCACCTACGCGGATGCGGCGCGCTGATTGGCTGCTTGGTTTCGGAGCGAGAGAAAAACTGCCCTCTCGCGCGCGAACCGAAGCGCCACCACAGAAGTGAAATTTCACTCAGAGATCAACAACGACTTTCAAGATTTTCGCTCTCGCGTACATAATCGACAGCCCTGTCCCTCAGAGACAGCCTGAGAGACAGCCTAAAAAGAAAAAGGAGAAAAAGAGCAAGAAATCGTCGAAGAAAGCTGCAAAAAACGAAGAGCCCGCTGTTTCTCAGGAAATGTACCAAGATCCAGAAGTGCCCGTTCTAGAGCAAGCGCTCGAGGACCTCTTGGGCAACAACAACGAAAGCAGTGGGGAAATGAGCTACTCTCACAGCGAAATTCAGGAGTTTTATAGACGTCTCGGCTGCGACTCTGCCAAATTCAACATTGCGCCTCAGGTGGGTTCTTTCCAAATTGCTTATGAAATGTCTATAAAATTGATTTTTAGCAAGTTCCGAGCGAAAACGCTTTTCACCATGGATATGTACTTGGATCGGCTGATCAGCTAGCAGCGCAGTTGGGTGAGTCGCAAATTGCTAGCTTTATTGTCAATAAATAATTATTATCATTCTAGAAGACAATGAAAGTATCGCGAGTGAGATTTCTGAGGGCTTGGCGGAACTTCTCGGTAATTTTCGATTCCTCTTTCGATCATAACTCCTAATTCTCTAATAAGGAGACTACGACGATGAGCCGGTAAGAAGAGTGGTTGAAGAACCAAGAAAGCGCTCCTCTAAAAAGGGAAGCAAGAAGAAAAAGAAGCAGAAAGAATTGCTGATAACCGATGAGCAGGAAAAAATACTCGCTGAAATTTTCGATGACCATTGCGCCCTCGACGAACCAATTGAAGAGCCAATTGATGAAGAACACGAAGACAACGAGGAGTCTTTCGGCTGGAATTTCTGCCGATTTGAGCCCAAGCGCTGCAATTCTCTGGGTGAAATGCCCGCGATAAAGCTTTTATTCGCTTCTCAAATTTCTCTGAAGCAATTCCAGGCGATCAAGGTTTTTCTTTCTTCCTTCTGTCTTTGTTTATGATCCTTTGGTTTAGGATAAACTGCAAAAAGAAGCCAATATTCACGACGTGCAGGTTATTGGCGAGTCAGAGTTGCACTTCTATTACGAGAGCATTTCTGACTGCTGGCGAGTGCTCCAATGGATCAAGCAACGGGGTGAGAAAGGCAAGGATATCATCAAGGTACGAACTCGGTTCTTTTCTGAGCTCCAAGATCTGCTCTAGCATGTGAAAGTTATCTCGACGGAATTCGCCCCTGGATCGAAATGGAAAGGCGATTTCGACAACTGCTTCTCCGTAAAGATCCAAGTCAAAAACATCCAACGAGTCAACATCCAAAGCATTCTGGTGCAAATGATCCGTTTCGGGAAAGTCGAGGACGTATTGATAGGTTTGTTGAATTTACGTGACTGTAGCTCAAACTTGTAATAAGACGCGAGCCGTGGAGACTACTTCATCGTCCGATTCAAGGAGCAAATCGCGGCGGAAAACGCGATCGCTCATCTTGACAGAGCGTATTTGTTCGGCTCCTGGTGCAGAGCTCGAAAGTCGCAACCCATCCCGAAGGATGATTTCAAGAAAAGCTCAAAATACGACGTGATCAAGGCGAAATGGCACAAGAACGCAAAACGTAAGGAGACACCGAGGAGTACTTAAAAAGGAATCATCTTTTTCAGTGATCCGGCCAGACATCTTCATCACTTCGCAACCTTCCGAGGGGCACCCAGCTGCTCACAGCGAAGTTATTTCTCGCGACTCGTGGAAGAAACTGCTCGCCATCGCTACTGACTGTGGTCCACACGATGAAACAAGTGGCTACGGAAATATTTGCATTCTCTTTGGGTAATCCATCTCTAGCATTGAGCTACCTGTAACTATGATCCCTAGTGATTCTGCGGGCGTGACGATCGGCTTTAGCAGCCCAGAAGTTGCCGAAGAATGCCTGGAAACTATCCACACACGAAAAATTCATGGAAAGTCTGTCGTCGCTCGGCCAGCTACGAGTTACGTTCGACTGTAAACGAAGCCCAGAGAAGAAACCACTCTATCCTCATATTCTCACTTATTCTTCACATCTTTCACGTTCAACATATCTTTCACCTCAATGTGCTGTTCCGACTTGTTCACTACGACACCGTTTTCAAGCCTTCTGCCGTCATGATAGAGAGACGAAAGAGGTCTCATTTTCAAACTAAACAGAACATGCATCAAGTTTGAACCTTTTCTATAATAAATGCAACCTATTTATTTAAAAATTGATCTTTCGAAGAGTAGTCAAAGCAATCTAACCACTATTTATATCGAAAATAGAGTCTAAAATTTTTCAACAGGGTTAAATTAGATGGTCATCAGATGACTTTAGGGTTCGAACGCGAATAACATTTTGTGAACACTGACTTCGAGGAGTTAACAAGGATTTTGCGTACATTCCGGTGAAAGCAGTCCTTTACCCTGGATAAAAAGATTGTCGCCACCCCTGGCGACAATCTTTTGCCACTAGCCAATCACAAGTTTCGAGACTTGTAGTGGCGGCGTAACCCCGGATTTGAGTCTGCTTTCATCGGTATTTGCGAGCGCAAGCGCAGAAAACGCACGGGGCGCCCCCTTTAGAGTTCCGCTAGGGGAGCATGGCTCAAGTTTTGTTGCGTAGGCAACTCACGGGGCCCAGATACGCTCGACACTCATTAGCTCAGACTTGGCCTTCACCATCTTCGGTGCGCTTCAAAGAGATTTTCTACTGATTCTCGACAATTTTTATTTTTTGTGCATTTTCTTATCTTCGACGAACTGATTTACAACCCGACCTATTTAGATAGTGTTTGTGGCGTCCCCTCTTCGTTTTTGCGACTCCGGTCTTCACTCCTCGAGATGTGGGAGTGGTGACAAAAACTCCCTTCCGAGCTTCACTGCTCACCAAAAGTGTGCAGTGGCGTTCACAACGTACCCGTTTTGGATTTCCCAAAACGGATACTTATATTCCAGCGAGGAATCAAATAGAATATATTTTTGACAGAGATGTTAATCTTATCCTTTTTAGAATGATATTTGAGGATAAATACAAGGTGCTTTTACTCGTTTGAGAAAAGCCCTTAAAATCAACGAGGTTGCGATTGACGGAGGAGTTCCAAAAGAGCTCTTGCTTGCATCAGACTCGGCTCGGACGTAGACTCCGGTCGATATCTACAAGTACTGCTACGAGTGCAGACTTGGAAAGATTGTCCGTCGAATCGATAAACAACCTGTTAATGAATTCGGCACTGCTGAGGGGAACTGCTACCTGTCCTGTCAGAAGAAATCGTATGATCTTTTCACTATTTTCTTTTATTACACTGATCAACCTTCATCCATCGCACAATACAAAATTTTTAAAATGAATCTTCGTTTTCTTCATCAATATAATACATTATATATATTGGCAATGTTCATGATTAAAGGCAGGAGCATTTCAAGGTTAGATTTGACCGCAGGTTTTTAATCCAACGCAAAGAGATTTCACCCAAAAAGAAACCATGCATCTTCATTGCGTCGAAAAATAAATGTATTTTTTACATTAAGTGGGTTAAACCAATTTACGGAAGTAATTTTATGTATCGCGGTTTGATTGGCCGGTTGGCCAAATTATTTGGCCCAAATATAACAATCTTATTGGTAATCCGAAAGATATATGAAAATCACTTTTTCGGGGCAAAAATCTACCCCCCATCTTTCTTGTGCTCATCTGAATTTTGCTTTAAGCAAAGTAATCACTGGAGGGTTAAATTCTAGCGAAGTAAGAAAACAGACAAAAGCTACGCTAGCACTTTTTTACCGCTTTTCAGGTCAAGGACGTCAACTTCTGCAAGACAAGAAATAATAATTGTAAGATAATGAGCAAATCAATCTCAAAATGATCACTGATCAGCAAATCTAAAAAACAACTTGGCCTGCCCTGATCGATGCGTTTTGACATCTAAGGCGAGTTCATCTTCGACCTTGGTTACCCAATAACAGTTTCTGAGCTCGAGAAAATTCGCTACTGAAATTTGGAAATTGATGATTCTGTTAATATTTTACACATACGGGAAGCTAATATTTGCTTGTTTATCTGGTCTAGACTTGTGTTCTGAGGCAGTTGGAATCTGATTTCATCAGAAATCCTGAGTCTTGTTGATAATTATTGTATTGACTTATATTTTTTTCATAAGCAAAGCCATTTCAATCTATTTTTAAAGTCTGGCGAAGCCGCTTCGCAGCTTCGTTTTGAAAAAAGCCGCTACACGGCTTTTCATAAAAGATCTTTCAGACCCTGACTCAGGTTTACTACTAAGGTTGTCAAGCCCCAATTGACCTACTTTTGAATGCTTTTTGGACTCCTGCGCAAGAAGTTGAAGACAACAACGATTATTTGTTTTACTTGGACTTTGTTTATTTTAAGTTTTTGGCCAAGGCAGTAGGTGAAAATCGGGGAATGAAAGAGTAGGAATGTGAAAGTGAAATTTGGTGGGTGAGTGGTGATAGTTAGGTAGCGTGAATTTTAGGGGAGGAAGGTCGTGACATGTGAGGGTGAATATGGTGAAGGTGAAAAGTTATATACAGGTTTGTTTATCGTTTTGTTGGCGTTTCCAACACGGCGGAATCGTCCAACGCTTTGAGATGTCTTCGCGCTGGAGGATCGAAGAGGCGGCCAGCTCTGCTGGGAGTCATCGGCTAAAATAAATGGTAAGATTTGAATTCGATAGAGAGCGTTTTCTTACCTCGGGTCGGTTTTCCCCGAGTCCATGGAGAGTTGTGTCGAAGCGGTGCACTTTTGTCTCCGTGGGGTTTTCCTAAAGCAAACATTTTATAAACTTGAAGTAAAGTACATGTATCTTCTTACCTTGTATTCGCCATCGCTTTCAATCGCCATGGGCTCGAAGTTCTTACACTTGGACTTGTCACAGCCGCAAGTATCCGAGCAAATTCGGGCAGACTTGCGGCAGCCACAAATTTTCGTGTTGCAGAACCCTTTGCACTTGCACTTGTCGTTGTTAGTGCGTCGGCGCTATAATTCATTTCATATGGGGATTGAAGGCATAAAAGAAAGAATACCTTTGGTGCGATTGATTTTCTGGCATTGCCTCTATTGTTGTCGCCAGTTGCATCCGGGACTCTGTTGAGAGCGTTTTCAGGATTGAAATCGGGGTCCCGACTGCGATCGTCCTTTGGAGTCGCCATCATCATCTTCGCGTTGGGAGTCTCGAAGATGCGAGAGTACTCCTGCTCAGTGAGATGACGCTTTCCAGACTTGGCTTTTGCTCTGGGCACTGGGAGAGCTGTCTGCTGCTGGAAACCGACTTCGTAAGTCGTGTCCATCGAGTTTTCCTCGTCAGAAGATTCCTCTTCGGTTTCTCCTTCCGAGGCTTCATCTTGATGAGCAACAGAAGTCTGCGCAACGTATTCTTCGTGCTAAAAGTACGAATTAGTAATAAAGAAAATATTTCATTATGCTTTTGCTACGATAAATGAACGAAGTGCTCACTTTTTCGTAGTCTAAAGCTTCCAAATTATACGCAAGGATTATATTATTAACCTCGAGCTTCATCAATCGCATTTCTTCTTGATGCTTGTTCTCAAGGCCCATGTATTTGTTCTGGAGGATGTTGAACTCGTCATGGATCTCCTTGAGATTCGCTCTCTAAAAATGAAAGTTATAATTAGGTTTTTGTTTGAAAGTTACTTACCAATTGGTCAGCATCTTCGGTCTGAATGAGACAATCTCCGCCTTGCTCGATCAATTCCTGGACGAGGAATTCGATCAGCTTACGAGCTTCCGCAGTATCTTTGATTGGGAGTCGCTTCGCAGATACTGGGTTCTCGTGCGATTCGGCAGAGTTGATCTGCTCCTGAAACAAGAGAGTAGGATGGAAGGAAGGAAGAAAAATAATTACCTGAATTGTAGCGATTTCAGCATCTTTTCGCTTGATTTTGTCCTTCAGGAGCTTGGTCATCTTCTCAGAAGCGCCGGGGAGCTTTGTACGCCGCTTCATTTCAGCTCGATCCTTATCGCAGAGTTTGACCTGATACTTGAGTCGTTTAATCTCCATTCGACACTCCAGGTCGTTTCGAAGCTGTTCTTTGAGATGACTAGAATCAAATGATTAAATTTGTTTTTCATAAAGAAACTGGTTTACCCAAATTTAAGAGATCCATGCGCCTTCGCCTTTGCCGAGTTCTCTGTTCTCTTAGCAAGGAGCATCTTGAGCTTTTTGAGTTCGGATGCATCCTTGGCCGACTGAATTTTGAGTCTGTTGGCGACGCGCTCATGCTGCAGTTTCATACGCATAATGTCGTTCGCCTTTCGACGGTCGGCTTTCTGAAGAGTGTTGATCTCTTTTTTGAACTTTTTCTCTTCTTCCGAGAACTTTTTCTGGTCATTACGGGCTTTCTTCACCAATTGAATCTAAATAATAGAGTAAGGAAAAAAGATGGAATAAAAAACTTTACCTTTCTCGATTTGAGATCCTCCAGCTCCTTTTTCAATTTTTCGATGAACTGCTCCTTCTCCCGTTTTTCTTTGACCAGTCGCTCCTTTTCTTTCTTCGCCTTTTTCAGCTTCGCGATCTCTTGTTCAAGCTCCTTCTGCCGGTTCAATCGCATCGCCTCTTGCTTCTTGTTTTTCTCTTTCGCCCCGTGCGACTTCGAGGCGAGAGTAGCTTGCCGCTCGTTCTCAAGTCGTTCGATCTTCTCTTGAAGCTCTGTGACTTGTCGTTCGTACTTGGCGCGAAGCAAGTGCGGGTTGTTCTCGTCCAGACTGAGGCATTTGATGTTCTGCTCTTTCGTTTCAATGTCGGTCTGCAGCGCGAAGAGATCTTCGTTGATTTTGTGCAGACGCATCGGCGAGTCAAGAGCAGCTTCACCTTCCTCAGCTTCGTTCGAATCGTCCAACCCGGAGCATTCGTCGATGTCCGTCAGGTCGTTCTCGTCTGCATCATTCTCTTCGTTTCTCACAAGCGCGTAAGAAAGCCGCTTCGACTTCTTGTGCGTTTTGTCGACGTCGAGAATGAGTCGCTGAAGACCTCTGAGCTCCTTGAACGCCTCGGCAGCGTTCTCGTCGATGTCACCATTCTCGACCAAGTTATCCTCCATAATTGTCATGTTGTTGTGCTCGGCCGAGAGTGCCTCTGCAGCTTGTTTCAGCTTTTCGAGTTTGTTCGAAAGAGCAGTTTTGTTGGTGCACTCGTCTTCGATCTGCAGCATCAGGCGATTCTGCTGCTTTGACGAGTTCGACAAGGCGAGCTTGTAGTCCTCCAACTGCGACTCCAACTGCTCCTTCATCTCGACGTACTCGGGCGTTTCGCGAGGATCGATGTTGACCTCGGTAGCGCCGCTCGCTCGTAGCATCTGAACCTGTTTTCGCAAGTTAATCAACTCCGCTTGAACAGGGTCTCGGTTCACGATCGGTTTGTTTTTGATCTTGCGCGCGCGATCGGCGTATCTCAGGGTTTGAATCGTCTCGTCATGATTTGTGTCTACTGGAGAAACACAGGCGATCATGAGAGTATGCGAGTTACCGCCCAAAGAATCCTAAATTGATAGTTAAAAGACTGTTTATTAGAATAAAGCGCTTACCTTTAGGATTCGGGTCAGCTTCGAATCTCGATACTTGACGTGGCTGTCGCCATCAGACAACGCGGAGATAACGTTGCCCAACGCCAGCAAACCCATGTTGATATTGACGCCCTCCTCTTTTCGCTGTCCCTCGGCGCCAGTTCGTTTGAGACGCTCGGAACCAGCGAGATCGACAAGTCGCAGCACAGCCGATTTCGAATCATCTGGATCTTCATGTGACTGTTGCTCCAGATGAATATTGAAAGCTGCGTGCGAACGAGAGGATGTGGCGTTCATATTTGTGCTACCGACGGAGCGCTGAGTGTTGCCCTCTTTTAGCTTTTCCAGAAGCTCGGAGGCGGAGTTTACCTCGGTTCTGGAAAGCTCGGCGACGATGGTATCGCCGTTGGGGAGCTCTCGGACTTGAAGGAGCTTGGAGCTTGTTTCCGGCTTCAGCAGGTCCCGGATCTCTTCTTTGTACAATTCAAAGTAGCTGACCTGCAAGCTACTTTTGTACTTGTCTGCCATTGAGGCAATTCTGAAACAAAGCTGTTAAATTGATTAAAAAACGAGTAAATTTACCTTTCGAATAAGTCCTCGGCGACACGTGGGAGGATTCCATCGTGTTCTCGGTCGCGCTTTCCGAACTCTCCTCCCATCGTGTAGGTTTTGCCCGAACCAGTCTGTCCATAGGCGAAGACAGTCTGGTTGAACCCGTCGAGCAAGCTGGCGAGCATCGGCTCTACCGTTTGGTTGTAGATTTCCGTTTGCTCGACGGAGTATCCAAATACTTTGTCGTAGGTAAACTGGCTACCTCGACAGTCGATTTGCGGGCCCGCAGCGATAAGGCACTCTTGTGCCCCTAAAAAACAGATGAAGAAAAATATCTTTTTTTTTATGTTAAATTGAAAGCTCTTTTGTCTCTCTCTTACCTTCATCGATCTCTTTCTTTGAGATTGGCCGGATTCGGATATGCACTCGCACATTATCCGACTTCATTCTGGAAAAAAATAAAATTAACTTTTTGCTGCGTTCCGTTTTTGAAAAAAAACGGTGAATGAGGCAGTCTGCAAGAATATTTTTCAGCGCGCCGTTGTTTTTCACGTACTGATGGCGTGATTTTACGAAAACGGTTGGTGATGCTGATCAAAATCAAAATGAACTTTGCAACGAAAAAAATTTGCAATACCGTTCATGCTCGCGAAAGACAATAATAACGTCAAAATTTTCGAAATGGTCTTCCATAAATTGGTTTAGTCCCATTACAGTGAAACCCCAACTTAAGGCCGAGCAACTTAAGGCCACTTTTTTGAAAAATCCCCGAAATCTGTCATCCGAAAAAAATCCAACTTAAGGCCACTTTTTTTTCAATTTTTATTCACAGTGAGTAAATCGCAGATTCACTTTTAAATAAAAAAAAACTCGTCAAAATTATTCTCCTCCTCCGCTGATCATAAAGTCGAGAAAATGTCCGCGTCGGAATGTCTTTTCCATCATGTTTCTTTCGAAATAGCCCATTGATAATCTTCTTTGCATCACTCTACTTCGGTGTCTTCACTAGAATCTCTGCATATCTTTTTTTTTCTCGGCATATGTAGGGTTTTTCACGGGAGCGCGCGGGGCTCGGAACGCCTTCTCACCGCGATTTTAATCTTCACAATTTGTCTATATTTTTTCATGAAACTCACAGATAGTACCAAATCGAAGGTGTACATTAATAATTAATAATTATAATTTAAGTTAATGTTGAAAAAAGGCGAAAAGGGGGGAATTTTTTGGAAAATCGCCTCCCAAACACTGATCACACTTTAGCACACTCTTCATTTTCGAATATGATAAACTTTAGGCACTTAGTAATCACCTCTAAAATTTTGGAATAGCAGGATCTGGTAGGACACCCGGAAATCTGCATTTAACTAGAACTTTCTGGCGTTGCGCGGGCGCTGGAGTCGCGCACGGGGTCACCGCCTGGGCTGAAAACGCGCATATTTACTCACTCCCCCGGAGAGCAGTCCGAACCTTTCTGTGGAAGGTGACGAAATAAAGTGGTTCGATGCAATAATTGGGGGATTTCCGATTCCAATATGATAATTTCATTGTAAATAATGTGACTTACCATCGAAAATTCCGAAAAAAGCTAATTGTCAATTAGTTTCTGAACATCGGTTTGCAACAAGGGTCAAGATTAACAAAAGTAAAAGAGCATATTCCTTCGGGACAAGGAATCAAAACTTCTCCAGAGATTTAACAAAGAAGTCAAAGCAGGCTATTCATATTTTTTCCGGAGAAATCAGCGTCGCATATGTTGTAAGATACTCATGTTTAATAATAACTCTTATTTAGCTAAAATAACTATGAGTATCGTGTTCACCATGTTCAAAAACCTATAGAAAACTATTTTGGGAAATTTTCACTGAAAAATCACCCTTGCACCAAATGCGCCAAGACAGCGCGCGCCGCACCACAAAAACCTTGACCAGCGCCTCTGATTTTTGTATTTTTGGAATCAGCGGGTCAAATTATGCCTACAGTGAAAATTTCAGAAAAAAGTGATAACTACCATTTTCCCGTGAGAAACCCTAGGCATATGTCATGTGGATTCTCTTTTCTTCTTGCGACATGTTTGCAGCAAATATATTTTTAAGAGAATGAAAAAATAACCTAAGGTTTGATTCAAATAGCGCATTTAGTTTTTACAATTCATACATGGTTCGTGCGAGAAATTTCTGATAAGACCCTCCGCCTTTCATTTTTGATTCCCATGATTCAGTCCCTTACTCCAGAAAGAGAAAAATTTTAGCGTCATCCAACTAAGTTGGAGAATCACCCAACTTAAGGCCACTTTTCAAATTAGCTGTCATCCAAAAAGTGGCCTTAAGTTGGGGTTTCACTGTATGTCAAAAACGGAAACGTTTTCAAAATATGTCCAAACGTCATCGCATTTGTATTTCTTGGCTAATTGGCTACACAAACAGGGTGAACTCTGAATAGATTTGATTCCATGGTCATTGACGAGTTGTTGTTTATTATTTCAATTAATATGGCGTGGAAGGGAAGCAGTGCCACGCGCGCTTGGCGACTTCGTCTTTTTTCCTGACAGGGAGCAGAGCAGAGACCGAGAGAATGAAATGCGTCCTCTTTATCATATCTCTTTGTGTTGCGTCTAGGTCGAGTCTTCGAAGAAGGCCAAGAAGGAAGGGCTTTTAGGGTAGAGTGAAAAGTTTGATCAGCCAGTGTCGTAATAGCCTGCCCAAGATCTCCCCCTTCGAATCAAGATGCCAGCTGGTACAAGATTAATCTTCTCGTCGACCGAAGACTTTATTACGCCGACTCAGATGTAAGTATTGAGTGTTTCAATGACGGGCTGAAAAAACTGATCATGAGAGATTAACGCTCGAAGCAGGTCTAGTTTCAGCCATGTGAAGTGATTATTGGACTCTATTGGAAATAGATTTTCACACTTCTGGACGAAGGAAAATTTACTGCAAAAGATGTGGAAACCGATTGGTCTGTGATTCAAGCAAGAAAGAACCAGAGCGGGAAGTAGAGAGACCGGAGATAGATCCTCCACCAGATTACGACCAGCAGACTATGGCAAAATATCCGTTAGCTCCGACAAGAACTCCTAACAAAACGACTCTGAAGACGACGCCTAGACCCATAAGAAAAACAACTACCTTTGTTAGCATCAAAACTACCATTGCAACTTCTACTGAGCCAACTGAGAAAACTGTCACTACTTCTAATACCAAGACTCCATCAACCACAATATCGTCGACGACAACAACGACGACAACTATGATCACAACAATGACAACAACAACCACCACAATAACCACCACCACAACATCAACAACAACAACTACGACAACTACAACAACAACCACCACGACAACAACGAGCACAACCACAACATCAACAACTAAAAGAACTACCACTAGCACGACAACAACATCTACCACCACGAGTACGACTACAACAACGACTACAACAACGACTACAACAACGACTACAACAACGACTACAACAACGACTACAACAACGACTACAACAACGACTACAACAACGACAACGACGACGACAACATCAACGACGACTAGCTCAATCAGAACCATCGAAATCGAAATCCCTGATAATCTCAAAACATTGCGATTGGAAGGCTATGATTGCGGCCGAGTTTTTTTCATGGAAAAGGGTTAATTATTCAAAGAAAAATCTCTAAGTTTTTGCTCTAACCTTTATTATAAAAGTTCGTGATGGAGAAACAAAAGAGCTAGGAATGATTGGCGACCCTCTTGTCACTGAGAGAATTGTAAGCAACGAATAAAGGCTGTGTAGATAAATCTTTGTTGAAATTTTCAGAACATACAAAAAATGCTGTTTGCAAGTACCTTGGTTTTGATGGAAGAGTGCCGGGAAATGCGGAGCCAGTTGGTTGGTTAAATGAAGATGAACTTCCATTGACACCCTTAACATGTGGAATCGGGTAAGCTAAAAAATAATGAACTATTTCTCAAAGTTGTAGAGAGCTGAACCCTGGAAATCTGAATGAACATGAAACTCGCTTTCAAATAACTCGATTGAATGGACAGTCTTCGAACTTCCCCTACTACTTTCTGCCTTACGAGCCTCACATAACCGGACCTGGATCAGACTGTCACAATCGCTACGGTAGAGCGGAACTGAAAATATGCTGTGGAAACAGTGGTAACAGAGGAGATAGTCTTACCCGAAGACGAAGAGGACCTCTTCCAGAGGGAAAATGCCCAGGAACGTTTAGTTTTAACACAGAGAAGTTATTTCGCCAAAAGATAAAATTGAACTTCAAATAAAGAAAACGCAAAATTGGGTGTTTGGACACTCTGGGCTGGCTGGAGTAACGGCTGTGACGAACGCAATGAGCTCCAAAACTTTGAATTTTATGAAGACAGAAAACGTGTTCGTCACTGTGTTGACCCTGACAACATCGATTCGAACGAGTACCTTTGCTGCGATGGGTAAAACTGACAAATTAGGCTCTTGGAAAGGAAAATTTAAGGCCTTTCTTCGAAATCGATATATGCGACTATTTCCCCGCGTATTATCCTGAGGTAGAAGTCTCCAATTGTGGCAGGTCGAAAAAAATTTTTTTTTTTCTGATTGGCTCATCTGAAAGAGCTTCTCAAACTGTATAAAAAACGTTTTTAGAGTCTGCTCAAATCTTCGAAATTTTCGACATTTGGACTTGATAAAGGTTGAAATTCCGAAATTTTAACTGCTCATAGAGCAAAATTTTTCCATAACAAAATTTTTTTTTTATTTTTTTTTGGAATCTCTATAGTCGAATCTATGTGCTTGCGAAAATTGAAGCAAATCGGGCAACATTTGGGCTGTAAAAATTTTTTTTTGAGGATTAGTTTTGCACTAATTTCGCAAATACAAAGCATATACTTTTATTAAATTACAAACTACAAAAAAGTAATCAAATAGTGCTCTGAGGTCACTTGAGGTCATTTGAGGTCATCTGAGGTCATCTGAGGTCATTTGAGAACAATTTTTTTTGCCGTTAAATTACATTTTTTTATTTTTTTTAATTTTGAAAATAATAATTTTGAGCAAAAATATTGCTCATTTGATTTTGAAAATTTTTTGTTTCAATATCGATCGACGGTGAAGTGTACACATGCGCTCGCGATTCCGGAACTACCTCGCTCATTAATGATTATTTAATGGATGCATCAATCAAAATCACAGTATGAAAAAAAAATTTCCAAACTAATTTCTGGCTGGCAGTTCACTTCGAGAAAGTTAATTCTGTGAAACACACAAAATTGAAAGAGAAGAAGAGAAAGCTAAGAGAAAGATTGTTAATAATTTTCGATACCAGTGACAGGTATACTAAATATATATATTTATTCTTAAAATTATATAAGACGCTTGTTAATTGCAGAAAAAATCAAAAACAGAAGAAATCCTGCCAACGACTGACTCCAAAGAAAGTAGAATTCAAACGAAGACAGAAGGTATGCTTTAAAGACTTCCCCCACGGTTTTGGCCTAGATGGGCCTCGCGCAGAAAAAAATTCTGAAAAAACAGTATGTTCGGTGGTCCTTCTTATACTTATTTATTATAATTATCGTTTGACTTATTTTTTAAACAGATATATCTATTACAAGTCTAAAATTATAAAAGGGAATTTAGGCCATTATAATTCCCTCATTTTACATTTTTCCGTAAATCGGAATAGCGCGGACCAGAGTTACAAATTTTGTGAGCTAGCTGAGGTGAGCTATATGAGCTAGATGAGCTACAGCTCAGCTCAGCTCAGCTCAGCGATTTCGAGGTGAGGGTCAGCTCAGCTCAGCTCAGCTTAATTTTTCTGAAGAAAGCAAGCTCAACTCAGCTCAATGGTTCTTCGAGAAAAGTCAGCTCAGCTCAGCTAGCTCAATTTTAACCTCGACTTAGCTAGCCCAGCTCAGCTCAGCTTGAAAAAATTGTCAGCTCAGCTCAGCAAGCTCAGATTGAAAAATCATCAGCTCAGCTCAGCTCAAGAACTAACAGATAAACCCCAGCTTAGCTCAGCTCAATTTTTTCGACAAAATCCAGCTCAGCTCAGCTCAGCTCAGTTGTTTTCAAAGGGGTCAGCTCAGCTCAGTTCAGCTTAAAAAAATTGTCAGCTCAGCTCAGCTCAAAAATTTTCAGATAAGCCCAAGCTCAGCTCAGCTCAGATGCTTTACAAGGGGGCCAGCTCAGCTCAGCTCAGCTCAATGGTTCTTCGAGAAAAGTCAGATCAGCTCAGCTAGCTCAATTTTAACCTCAACTCAGCTAGCTCAGCTCAGCTCAGCTTGAAAAAATTGTAAGCTCAGCTCAGCTAGCTCAGTTTGAAAAATCATCAGCTCAGCTCAAAAACTAACAGATAAACCTCAGCTCAGCTCAGCTCAAATTTTTCGAAATAATCCAGCTCAGCTCAGCTCAGCTCAGTTGTTTTCAAAGGGGTCAGCTCAGCTCAGTTCAGCTTAAAAAAATTGTCAGCTCAGCTCAGCTCAAAAATTTTCAAATTAGCCCAAGCTCAGCTCAGCTCAGCTCATTTTTTTCGAAAAAATCCAGCTCAGCTCAGTTGCTTTTCAAGGGGCCAGCTCAGCTCAGCTCAGCTTAAAAAAATTGTCAGCTCAGCTCAGCTCAAAAATTTTCAAATTAGCCCAAGCTCAGCTCAGCTCAGCTCATTTTTTCGAAAAATTCAGCTCAGCTCAGTTGCTTTTCAAGGGGCCAGCTCAGCTCAGTTCAGCTTAAAAAAATTGTCAGCTCAGCTTAGCTCAAAAATTTTCAAATTAGCCCAAGCTCAGCTCAGCTCAGTTCATTTTTTTCGAAAAAATCCAGCTCAGCTCAGTTGCTTTTCAAGGGGCCAGCTCAGCTCAATTTCGACCACAGCTCAGCTAGCTCAGCTCACAAAAAATTTTCAAAAATCTGCAACTCTGGGTCGGACCGAGAATTATGATCACTAACGTTCGTTACACCTTTAATAGGGATGAACCTGAAATTGTCAACAAGGCAATCAAGGCCATCACGGCCAGCATGGCCATCAAGGCCATCGACCCGACCAAAAAACTCGACCTAGTCGGAAATGGTGGGGTTTATATTGGCACCGAACGATCCTACCATGGATTTTTTTTTTGATTTGATCGGTGGTGGGGTTTGGTCGGTGGGTGGTCGGCTTAAGTCGGTTTCTTTGTGTTTTTCGTTTTGACCGATTTTTTTCATTTCTCTCTGGCGATAAAAGAAAAAGAGATTGTCGACAAGGCCATCAAGGACATCATGGCCATCGAGGCTATAAAGACCATTTTAGAAATCAGCAAAAGTCCCTATAACCTGAATTCAACAACGCCCTCAAGGCCATCAATTCTAGAAAGTTGCGGGTTTCCTTTAAGACAGGCGCGGAGCGCACACCCGCTTTTTCTGCTTTCTGATCGTTGATTATTGCTTCAAAAGTATAAAAATTGATCTGCTTAGTTAAAACCATGGATGCTCGAAAACAATACCTTGGAAAAATCCCACGATTCCTTAATTCCTTCGAAGTGTCAAATGATGGCTCGGGGACCATGGCGAATCTTACCTTTATGATGTCTCGTGTCGTGCAAAGCCAACTCCCTGAGTTTGCTCCAAAGCAAATGTACAGGGCATTAGAAGATATATTGGAAAGAACCGAAGCCACTATGACTGTCGAGTCGTTTTTCGTTTTCCATTTTCAGGGCGGGCCTGTCATAAATTGCTCTTTTGAATGTGCGGTACCGCTTATCATATGAATTTTCGATTATAATCGGGATCATGGCTGTCGAATTCGCGTCCTATGATCTGTCAAAAAATTTTAGTGTGCGAATTAATATTTACGCGTCGTTTTTCTATCTTTCGCGTTCGTCTCGTTCAATCATCTTCAGAAAGCTTTAGAAAAAGATAATAGAAGTAAGCGCTTTAAAAGTCTCCAAAATTTCTCTAAAAATTAATTCTTTTTCTTTTCGAGTGACGACAGTTATCAAATAACCAGCTCTGATCTAGACGATCGAGAAATTGCAAAATTTATGGTTAAGAGGCCTCTTGAGCTTGCTGTTATATTTAAGACGATCTCTTCGAAAGAATGGCTCAGATTAAAAGCTGAACGATTGGTTAAAAGTTTTTCTTCCAAAAACTTGACAAGCCTTCAAATTGGAATCAAATATCTAAAGAAACAATAGATGTTTTGGAAATGACGAGGTGTTTAGACTACAGAATATATCAACTTCATCGTGCATATGATGAGCTACGTCTCCAACAAAGAATAAGACGATCTTACAATCAAGGTGGACGACATCAGGGTTATTACGAATTACTGTGTGGAAAATTTGTCTCTCTCACATCGTTGTTTCCAAAAACTTGTGGTAAAATCGAATTATATGATGTGGAGTTCATTTTTCTTTTTAAGTCGTCGTCGTGGATGAGAAGTTCTGTTATGATGTCAATGTTCTACGATGTTTATCCTTTTCTTTCACTCTTTCCTTATTTTTTACGTGATTGTTACCCTTAAGCAATTTGTTCGATAAAATCTTGGATAAGGATTAATTGTTAAAGTATTTAGACGATGTCCGAGTTTGGCGTCTCTATGATGCCTGTTGAACCACCACCAGATGATTTATGCGCACTTGGTCCAGCGCCAAGCGTCATGAATATCGATTCTATTGATGCTGTGTCTAACTATGACTTTGACCCCAATGAAGCTCCTGTTAATCTTCTTCAAGTACCAAGGTTTTTATTCGTTCAAGATTGATTGAATTAAAGTTAATTTTGCATTTCAGTGTTCTTGATCTCGAGAGACTTGATAATCTAAATGAACCGCTTGGCACAGCTCCGTCAATTCTTAATATTGACACCATTTCTGTTTATTCCCACGATGAGGTTCAGGCGAATAACTCTGAACTGACTGATTTAACGGAGGTTTTTATGGTCGAGTTCCAAGTGTGATGAATCTTGACCAGGGTTTCGAAAAATTGGCAGCCATGCGGCGGCGAGGATTTATTCATACTCCGCGCGCCCTTCGCTTACGGCCTCCATTCATTTTTCGAATCCACGCTCTGGCGGCAAAGCCAGCCGCTGGCCGCTGGATTCCACTGGAGACCGAATTTCAGCCTCGGATAATGTAAAATTCGGACTGGGTCGCGTTAACGCAAGATGAATCACCAAGTGGCCGCTGAACCCTGGCGGCCAGCGGAGGTGGGTCTCTAAGAGGTGGAAACCAAAAGAGTATGAGTGGGTTGTGGCTGCCGCCTGGCCTCGTATTTTTCGAGACCCTGATCTTGACCATATAAACACAATGAACGAATGCGTTCCAAGTGTACCGTCTTCATCAGATTTCGACATAATGAACGGATGCGTTCCAAGTGTACCATCTTCATCAGATTTCGACATAATGAACGAACGAGCGCCTTCTGTGCCAGATATAAGTTCTCTTACGATTGATGAGGATTCAGAAATTCAATTATCGACGTCTTCAGTGAATGAATTAGGAGCGGAAGCAGATTGCTCTTCGCACCTGCAAAGTTATGGTCATGAAAATGTGAGTGAGGATATACAAGATTCCGACTACACTTACAATCATGTCAACGGGACAGAAATTCAAAATTCGATGGACACACCGGAGAATCAATATCTGCAAGATCACGAAGAAACGATGGAAATGATAAAACAATCGCAAAATGGTCACCTTGAGGCGCTTACGAAAACTGAAAATGTCACACGATCACGCTTCCAAAAAATCGCACGCAAACCAAGCACTCATAGACCAAGTCTTCTTGAGTGCAGTCGGACGAAGAATTTTCCATTAACCAGAACAAATTCTTCAACTCGTTCCCTAAGAAACGCGTTCAAGAAAGAATCAAAAGCAAAAACAACAGGCTTAAGGCAAGCTCTGGCAAGAAGTAGGCTCCGCGAGATCGCCGCATCGGTCGAAATCACCGATCAACGGTCTGCAGACTCTCTAAGAGAGCTTAGTTTTCTATCAATGACTGATAAACTTGCCACGAAAATAATCAATGATGTGACAAAGATAATATCGTCAAAGAAAAAGTCAAAATTAGGTGATATTCTCTCAAAGGTATAATCGTTTTTTTTTAAGAATTTTCTAACATTCTTAAGCTGAAATCTTCTCCCGCTTTTACGGCGAAAGAAGCAGAAAAACTTTTTGCAAAGTTTTTAGTTAAAGAGCTTAATACAAAAAGGGTGGTAGGCGGCCTTTTGAACAGACCTTCAAAGAATGAAAAATATTTTACCTAAAAATTTTTCTATCTTTACTTGTCTGCCCAAACGACCGCTTACAACCCAATAGATACAATGGACCGACGTCTCGTCCATCGATTAAATTGTCCAATTATAAAGGTGATGGGTCCTAGCAGCGCTCAGGCCCGACCGTTCAGAGTATCATTTCAAAATCTCGATAGAGATCTCGGCGAGTTGATCCAGTGGTAGCACACCCCGGCCGGACGCGGGAAACCGTTGTTCAATCCCAGGACTTGTCTAGCTTTTTAGCTTGAGCGCTGTTAAAATCCATCAAAGGATACTCTTGTTGTCGTAAATGTGGAAATAATTTTCCAACATCTTCTACTGCCTCAGCATTTCATGATCATGTTAAAATATGCTCTGGTCGAGTCTGCACAGGAAAGATAATAATTATCAGGATTGTCTAAGTATGCTGTGTTCTTATCAAAAATAAGATTGCAAAAAGCACTTTTCTTCTTTGGATTTATACAATAATCACCTTGGTAACTGTACGGCTTCCGTCACAAGCAAAGACTATGATGTGAAGCTATTGAAGAGAAAAGATGCCTACAAATGCTGTGGAAGTCGTCCAACAAAACAGAATGGCCGGGTAAAACGACAGCATGAGATCAGACAATGCGTTTTGCCAACCTGCTTTATATGCTGCCAGAGGATCCCATTAGAGCATATTGAAGACCACGTGAGTAATCACAAAGATGACTTCGGCTCCGGTCTAGTTCAAGCTGTTAGAGAAGAACCTGTCAGGGTGCAAAAATCATCTGAAGAGCCTTATCTTCTTGAAAATCAAGAGGCACCGCATTCATCAAAAAATTTGCCTACAGTGTTAACGAAAAATGTCGAGGCAAGTGAGCAGATGCTTTTTATGCCTCAAGAAGTCGGGATTCTATCAAAATCAACGATAGAGCATTTGGATGCTGACGTTCGTCTCGAAAAAATATCACGCGCCTCTAGAGAAGAGGAAGGAAGTGTTGAACAGAACCAAGAGCAGGAACTAAACATTCAGCCTCGCTCTATTCTTAAAAAGAATAAAACGACGAATTCTGAGGAAGATGACTCTGATCCTGATTGGATAGATGAAAATCCCGCTGAGCGGCTTGAACTTGAAAAAGAAAACTTGATAGGTGCACTTGAAGAAATTGCCAGTACATCTTCCGTTCCAAGTATTTTGGAAGCTCTGTCAACTTTGAAAACAACCGAGGAAATTAAAAGTGAAATGCAAAACCTGAGTGAGCAGAATCAAAATACTCTCATCAAAATGCAGCTTTTACCAAGGTTTGTGAAGAGAAAATTTTATAAAAGAATAGAACAATTTATAAAAGATTATAATTCTAGTGAAATAATGAAAAATATGCTTGACAAATCAACTTGGAAAAATGAGAACGTGATTTTAAAAGCGGTATTAAAAGAAAATAATTCGCAAGAAAGAATTCATGTTCTTTCCTCGACATTTGGAATTAAGGACCGGTCAAAAAGTCCAAAACAATATTGATAGAGTAAATGGAAAAACACCCTATTATAAATATCGGAAAGTTGAGCGACCTCGCTTTAGAAAAAGAAACTGAAGAAGCTTGCAGATGAAAAAGAATCTGGGGAAAATTATGCCAATTTCAATCAGATCAAATCCGCGAATATTTCATTAGATTGGATTATAAAATTAATGAATTTTACGATCTCCATCATGTCTATAATCCTATATTTGTTTCGGCAATAGACGCATTTCTTGACGAGAGAGCTTTCATTGATCCGAGTCAAAAGAAAGCAACTCTAAGGGAATCCTTAATTCTTGACCGCACTGTCTTGAAATATCTTCGTGAAAAATGTGATACGCGAACCCATAAAATTGACTTGCTACGACCAACGACTCAGTCTCTGACCACTTCGAGAAGAATACTGAAAAAAACTCTTGAAGAACTTCACGCTGAATTTATTAGTGAATATCCACAGCTTACACACCTAACTTTGAAGGAGTTCAAAAGTATGACTCCATTTTACTACATTCCGCCCTCACGTACAACGCAAGTTGTATGCGCCTGCGAGATAGGGTCTTAAATCGTGAATTATTATAAATTTATTGTCACTGTAATGGAAATCACACCATGATATGATTAAGACCATTTATTAGTCCTGCCTTAACAAGGGAACTTATGAGAAGGCTGCGCAGAGCCTTGGAAAGAAATTAGGACAGGAGACTCTTTTCTTAGATATCACAGTTCATCGCAGAATCCGTTAACAGGTCCTAACAAGATCTTGAGGATAAAAAAGCCCCCCTCCATAAGACGTTCCCGCATTGGCAGGCTTCAATTTCAAAGAAATCTTGGAAAGGAGCACCTGTGCAACAACGGACAAACAATATTGTGTCACTGATCGTAAAAAGAAGACAAGTTGCTTTGTTCACCCAAAAAATTCAACATCCTGCAGCGACTGCACTCACAAGAGTTGCGTTGGTCCGGATGAATTTATGGAAGACTTTGATCGAGAAATATTCGAAAAAGTCGTACAAATGCATCCTGACGAGACCGTTGCCTTTGACAGATTCGAACTCCTCAAAGCTGGAGTTAAAGCTGAGACAGCTTTTGTTTCTGGTAGCGAAACTCGCGGTAAAATGCCAATACGGCAATTCTTCGATCAGCTTAAAAGTATGACGAGAGAAACACTTGCCCATAGCATCGACAAGAGCAGAAATAATGAAGATCTTAAAGTATATGAACATGGAGATGTTAAGCCAGGGAGTCTTCATCTTGAGCCGAGGGTCTTAAATTGTATCGAATGAATACGTCAAGTGTGTCTATAAGCAAGAACTTTCTGAGACCCGTGGAAAGCTTGACTACGCCTCGACGTTTGTTCTTCAAAATAATACTGCGTCACAGTTCGGGATCAGAAAATTCATTAATTTCGCTTGGCTTGTTTACATGAACCCTAAAAATAGCATGAATATCTTCAAGCCGGGCGCCTTGGATTGAATTGTAACGTTTTAACGGCGGTCGCTCGATGGAATGAAAACGAAATACAAAAAATGCAATACTTTCATTTTCTTATGGAGAAGAAATTTGCCGGAGCGCCGATTGAGGCGGAAAAAATGATTGTTGAAAATTTTAAAAATCGAAACATAAATTTCACAGTCATTAACAGGATTTCTGAAAGGGTTCGAAAGGGTTAAAATTTGCATTTTAATGTTGACGATAATTCCATTATGGCTCGTCGGTAGGTAATGGTCTATTTCGATCTTGCGGATTTATAAGATCTTTGAATTTCCCGAACCCTGTTTTACATAATGCGAGCTCTGAATTCAAATCGAGGGAACATTTTCACCATGCCATTTCAAATAACGATGGCCTGCGGAGAACTTATATTTTCAAAACCAGCCGCCATGGAAAAGGTATTTTTTCCGCGAAACTAATTCTAGAATTCTGAGGCCTCGTCGATGGCGCCCATAGTCACTGCGCTACCACGATAAAAAATGCGAAACTTGTAAATCGCTGTGGTACTCTTGATGAATGCCTCGGATTCTTGAAGGAAAATGAGCAGAAGCTGCGGACAGAAGAAAAAGAAAAACGCGCAAAACAAAATTTTGCTGGGCGAGAATATGCCATTCTCAAGAATAAAAATGAAGAGACCACGAAATCTTCCGTAAATCTCAACATACCGTCAATTAAATCGATTCGTATGATAAACTTCGACGCAGCAAGAGG